GGGTTTGTCGATGGCATTAATGATGGGGAGGTTGAAGGAAACACAGAAGGAGCAATGGACAGACTGGGTTTGCTGGATGATGTAGGTTGATTTGTTGGACGTGAAGACTGAGAAGGATTTAAAGAAAGACTTGGCTTAATGGAAAGAGATGGCTGCTGAGAGGGATTCTTGGACACTGACGGCATTGCAGATCCTGACGGTCCTTGTGATGGATTCGAGGAAAGACTGGGCTGGAGGCTCAAGCTTGGAATTGCTGATGGTGCTGCAGACACAGTGGTTGCTCCTGCAGATGGAGTGCCGGAGGGAGCAATGGATAATGAAGGTACAACAGAAGGAGCAATGGACAGACTGGGTTTGCTCGATGATGTAGGTTGATTGGTTGGTGGAGACGACTGAGATGGATTTGAAGAAAGACTTGGCTGACTGGAACCAGATGGCTGCTGAGAGGGATTATGGACAATGACGGCATTGCAGATCCTGAAGGTGCTGTGATGGATTCAAGGAAAGACTTGGCTGGATGCTCAAGCTTGGGATTGCTGATGGTGCTGTGGACAAAATAGTTGCTGAAGGAGTACCAGAAGGAGCAATGGAAATGAAGGAACAACAGAAGGAGCGATGGAAAGACTGGGTTTGCTGATGATGTAGGTTGATTGTTGGACGTGAAGACTGAGAAGGATTCAAAGAAACTCTTGGCTTGATGGAAAGAGATGGCTGCTGAGAAGGACTTTGGACAATGACGGCATTGTAGATCCTGAAGGTTGCTGTGATGGATTGGAGGAAAGGCTGGGTTGGAGGCTCAAGCTTGGAATTGCTGAAGGTGCTGTGGAAACAGTGATTGTTCCTGTGGATGGAGCACCAGAAGGAGCAATGGATAAGGAAGGCACAAGGAAGGAGCAACTGGAAGACTGGGTTTGCTCGATGATGTAGGTTGATTGGTTGGGTGGAGAGGACTGAGATGGATTTGAAGAAAGACTTGGCTGACTGGAACCAGATGGCTGCTGAGAGGGATTTATGGACAATGACGGCATTGCAGATCCTGAAGGTTGCTGTGATGGATTCAAGGAAAGACTGGGCTGGATGCTCAAGCTTGGGATTGCTGATGGTGCTGTGGACAAAATAGTTGCTGAAGGAGTACCAGAAGGAGCAATGGATAATGAAGGAACAACAGAAGGAGCAATGGAAAGACTGGGTTTGCTGGATGATGTAGGTTGATTTGTTGGAGCGCGAAGACTGAGAAGGATTCAAAGAAACACTTGGCTTGATGGAAAGAGATGGCTGCTGAGAAGGACTTTTGGACAATGACGGCATTGCAGATCCTGAAGGTTGCTGTGATGGATTGGAGGAAAGGCTGGGCTGGAGGCTCAAGCTTGGAATTGCTGAAGGTGCTGTGGAAACAGTGATTGTTCCTGTGGATGGAGCACCAGAAGGAGCAATGGATAAGGAAGGCACAACGGAAGGAGCACTGGACAGACTGGGTTTGCTCGATGATGTAGGTTGATTGGTTGGTGGAGAGGACTGAGATGGATTTGAAGAAAGGCTTGGCTGACTGGAACCAGATGGCTGCTGAGAGGGATTTATGGATAGTGATGGCATTGCAGATCCTGAAGGTTGCTGTGATGGATTCAAGGAAAGACTGGGCTGGATGCTCAAGCTTGGGATTGCTGATGGTGCTGTGGAAAAAATAGTTGCTGAAGGAGTACCAGAAGGAGCAATGGATAATGAAGGAACAACAGAAGGAGCAATGGAAGACTGGGTTTGCTGGATGTGTAGGTTGATTTGTTGGACGTGAAGACTGAGAAGGATTCAAAGAAAGACTTGGCTTGATGGAAAGAGATGGCTGCTGAGAAGGACTTTTGGACAATGATGGCATTGCAGATCCTGAAGGTTGCTGTGATGGATTCAGGAAAGACTGGGTGGAGGCTCAAGCTTGGATTGCTGATGGTGCTGTGGATACAGTGATTGTTCCTGTGGATGGAGCACCAGAAGGAGCAATGGATAATGAAGGCACAACAGAAGGAGCAATCGACAGACTGGGTTTGCTGATGATGTAGGTTGATTGGTTGGATCTCTCTCTTTTTATCAGTAACACCATCGCAAATTCCATCAAATAATCCTTCAGGAGTCCCCTCCACAATTCCAAGTTTATCAATCCAACCGAGTCTTTCCTCCAATCCATCACAGGGACCATCAGGATCTGCAATGCCATCCTTGTCCCTCAATCCCTCTCAGCAGCCATCTCTTTCCATTCAGCCAAGTTTATCAGCCAATCCAAGCGCATCTATGGTGCCGTCTACAGGGCCCTCTATCACCCCAGGTCAGGGATTTCTTTCATTGTTCAGTTTTCCCCTTGAGGAAGAACATGAATTCCAAACTGGACCAGATTTTCTCACGGCCATTGTGGAGGAAGCTGAAGAGAAGGAAGAATATGAGCTCGCCTCGGAAGAATCTGATTTTTCGGCAGATGGCCAACCAGAAGGTGACGTTGGCATGCCTGCTGAAGAACAAGTAAACCACAACATATTCATGCATCCAGAAGCACATGACTTCTCTCGACATCAAGAAACAGAGGGACAAGAAGAGGAGGAGGAGCATGATTTTGGTGATACCAGTAGCCAAGAAGAAGAGCATGAATTTGCTGATAGCGAATCAGAAGGTGACGTTGGCATGCACGCAGAAGAACAAGTAAACCACACTAGTTTCATGGATCCAGAAGTACATGACTTCTCTCAAGAGCAACAAGAAACAGAAGAACCGGAAGAAGAGGAGCATGATTTTGGTGATGTAGAAGAAGAAGAAGAAGAAGAAGAGCTCGAATTGTTTGGTGATGGCGACAATGAACGTGACGTTGGTGTGCCTGCAGAAGAAGAGCAAGTTGAACACCACAACATTTTCATGCATCCCCCAGGGAGTGCCTCTTCTCAAGATCAAGATCAAGATCAAGAAGAAAGTGATGAAGAAGAGCCTAGATTTGGTCCTGACGAGTTTGATTTTGGAACCGGTCCCGATTTCCGCGAACACAAAGTTATCCCAATCGTTGTGCGGAATCGATTTGATGATGAAGAAGAGCACGAAGAACAAGAAGAGTTCAACTTTGAAGAGGATGATGAGGACCACGAAGAAGAGTTTGACTTTGGAACTGGCCCTGATTAGCTATCTAGCTAGTTTGTCGCCCTCACCACACGACGGTAACCATCCAAGAAAGCAGACCACGAGTAATCGTGTGTGGTTGTCGCAATTCATCTGGGATAATTCGACTCACTCACCGCCGTTCCGGTCATCCCGACGAGCTTCGAAGTGGCCCGCCCCTTCTTGCAATGATGCAACAGGGAGCATTGAAGGGCTGAGTGGCTTGACCACGGGGCAATACATGTAGCTATACCGTATTGTAAGCTAACTGTTCAAGCAGTTGTGATCCGATGTCACTCTAGATAGCTAGTTGTGATCCATGCGACTAGATTACCGTACGGTACGTCGCTTGATTGTTTTCTCTTGAGCCGCACCTCCGATCATTCTCTCGTTGAAAAGGAAGGAGACCGTCGCCGTTCTTTGCGTCGTTGGGGGTAATTGTTGGGGGCCGTGGTGAGTTGGAAAAGGGGGTGAAATTTGAGAGAGGGGTACGTCAGTTGATGACGCGAGGTTGCGAAGTGAGAAAGATCTTGGATGATGCTTCCGTGGCCGCACATTTTGATGTTCCGAAACCTGCAGCATCAACGGAAGCAGAAGTAAAGTGAGAAAAGGAACTTGTTCGCTTCCTCTTGGTTGGATTCAACACAATCCCATTGGATACCGCTCAATGGGAAGCCAATAGAAAATACAAGAACTTCTCTTCTCTTCAACCTTTAGGTAAGATATTGACAGGCTCGGGCCACATCCATCATCCATCAGATCGATCAGACGTCCCCCACGCACCATCATAAAAAGAGCAAGAGATCACATTCCTCTCTGAAAGGGTACCAATACAGCTACCCATCGACCCACCCTCTTTTCCCATTCCTTCCTTTTTTCTATAGTAGTATGAGACTGAGTGCTTCTGCCGTCGGAACCTTTTTGGTACTTGCTGCGACTTCTACATTTCAATCCGCCCAAGCATTTACTGCCGTGAGAGGACCTTTGTCGACAACTGCTACTACAAGTGCTTCAAGTTCTGCCTTTTTGCCCACTTTCTCGGCGGTTCGACCACAAGCCAGTTCCTCTTCTTCTTCGACCAGCAGCTTGAGTATGTCGTTCAGTGTGGGAATTGTCGGTGCCACGGGAGCCGTCGGCAAGGAAATTCGTCAATGCCTGGAAAAGCGAGAGTTCCCAGTCTCCCAGTTGCGCATTTTTGGATCGGAACGATCGGCGGGCAAGACCATGCCCACCGAGAAATATGGAGATATCGAAGTGGAACTCTTTGATGTGGCCAAGGCACGAGAATGCGATGTCGTCTTTCTCGCCGTCAGTGGAGACTTTGCGCTCGAGCATGCTGAAGCTATTTGTAAAGGAGATGATGGAGCCGTCGTCATTGATAACTCGGTGAGCATTTATTTTACAATTGGTATATAGAGGGCTTGGTTTGTTTGTTGGCTACTTTTCTGACATTCGCCCTCTCATTTTGTCCCTTTTTCTCCCATTGAACCTACCTATTCCTGTGCAATCCACACCCCTGAATGTACGGTATTTCTTTTCTGTATTGTCTTGTATTCTTTCACAAACAACAGTCTGCCTTTCGTTACAAACCCGAGATCCCCTTGGTAGTACCGGAAATCAATGGAAAAGAAACCAAGAAATCCAAATTGATTGCCAACCCCAACTGTACCACCGCCATTGGTCTCATGGCGATCTGGCCTCTTATTCAGAAATTTGGTTGCAAACGTGTCATTATGAGTACGTACCAAGCTGCATCGGGAGCTGGACAACCCGGAATGGACGAACTACAGGATGGCACCAGAGTCTACCTCGAAGGAGGAACGCCGGAAAATTCCATCTTTGCCTATCCACTCCCCTTTAATGTCATTCCACAAATTGACAAATTCCAAGAGAACGGATACACCAAGGAAGAAATGAAAGTCACCTGGGAAACACGCAAGATTTGTGGTTTGGCGGATGATTTCCCCGTTAGTTGTTCCGCCGTACGTATTCCCACCATTCGGGCCCACTCCGAAGTCATCATTATGGAAACCGAAAAACCGGTAGATATCAAGGAAGCTCAAAAGGTACTCGACGAGGCACCCGGTGTCAAATTGGTCGACAATCCCGACGAACTCGCCTATCCCATGCCCATTACCGCCACCGGACAGTACGATGTCGAAGTCGGACGATTGCGCAAATCACTCGTCTTTGGTGATTATGGAATCGAATTCTTTGTCAGTGGTGATCAACTGTTGCGTGGTGCCGCTCTCAATGCCGTCTTGGTTGGGGAAGAAATGGTCAGCAATGGTTCCATCAAGGAAAAGGCAACCGCCTAAGAAAGAAAACAACTGACACATCACACAATCACACACACACACACGCAAGTGCATCCCGACAATACACCTACCATACTAGATAAGATATTATGAAGTCTACGTAATTATTGGATTGAATCATTCGATTCTTCTACTGATCCACGACGGCATACACCTCTCAGCATTTGTTGATCAGTTCTTCATGCAATCTTCGAGTGAAGAAAGATCGCATGGTCCACAATGCGTGCATTACTACTCGGGTGGAACCACAATGCTGGGTGTCGCACAAGCTGCCTTTCTACCCGCCACTCGACCAAAAGCCAAGCAGTCTAGCGTGGCACAGCTGCCCAGTCTGTCTCCTCCATGAATGCCTCCAGCAACTTCGCCTGCTGCATAGAGTCCCTCGATGGGGTTTCCATCGAGATTGAGAACGGAGGCATTCTCGTCGATTTGGAGGCCTCCCATCGTATGATGAACCTTTGGCCAAAGTCGCACGCCATAGAACGGCGCTGTTTCAATAGGTTTGATATCGTCTCGAAATGGCTTGCCAAACTCCTCATCTTTGCCAGTGGCTACCCCGTCATTGTAGTCTTTCACTGTTTGAGCCAACACTTGTGGACTCATGCCGTAGTGTTCACAGAGCTCTTCTAGACTTTGGAAAGGCTTCACCGTTGGCTCGAGTTCTTCCAAATCCGGTTTGAGACTGTGTTGTGCCCCTTCGGCATCGACAATGCACACAGCTGGGTGGCCCATTTTCAGAATGGACATGGATCGTTCAAAGCGGTTACCAAGCTCGTTGACAAATCTCTTGGAAGTCTCGGGATCTACAATGATTCCATAAGGAAATCCTGCCCCCAAGCAAAAGAATGGCGCCTTGCCAAAGCCGTGCTCGTCCGGGCTAGTCCACGGGCCGAGTTGGATACGTGAGAGTTGCACTGGCATCGCCCCGATCCTGAGCGCCTCTTTCAGAACTTCTGCAGTTGCTCCGGGTTGGTTTGTGCTCATGACTTTCTCGTCAAACGATGGGTTCTGGATGGAACGGAAGGGAACATCAGCGCTAAAGCCACCAGAAGCAGCCACAACTCCTCTTTTGCACAGGATTTCTGTTTCATCGCCTTTCTTGGCGTTCTTGACACGGATGCCTTGGACTCTGTCACCGCGGTCGTTCATGATAAAACTCTGAAACGACGTATCCAGCAAGAGCTCTACATTGGTTTTTCCTTGGACGGCGCTGAGCATTGGTCGAACAATGTCATTCCCCGAAGCGTTCAGGGTACTGATGCAAGAATGAGGCGCATCAGGGTATGCACTGAAACGGTGTTTGGCTGATCCATTGCATGAAGCACTTTCTTACCTCAGAGTCCGTGGGACTGAGTGTCCTCCCATCTGAGTGACTCGTTCTCTGTACTCAATTCCCAACTCTTGCTCAGTCCATTTGACGACATTGTTGCTTTCTTCGATCATCTTTCTTAGTAGGTGAGGATGGTTCAGATCAACTCCAGCCTTGAGCATGTCCTCCATCATGAGCTCGACGCTGTCTTCGATGTTGGCAAGTTGTTGCGCCTCTGATCCAACACAGGCGATCTGCCCAGCATTCATGACAGAGTTGCCACCGACCACATGGTTTTTCTCGACAATGAGAATCTTCGCATTGTCTGGAAGCTGCGACGAAGCTTCTATGGCCGCGCTGAGCCCAGCGAAACCGGACCCTACCACGGCAACGTCACAGACAACACGAGATCCTGTACTGACAGCAACCTCCGAAACGCTGTGAAGTTTTGGTGGTGGTGGGTGACTGCTGGTCGCAAGAAGAACTGGAAGCAAGCATTTGAAAGGCGTCATGGTGCGATTGTCAAACCTTGGTGCTTTGAAACTTGCTACGAAGCGAACAGCTTCACGAGGAACCCTATCGTACCGGGACGGTTCCCGTTGGGCTTCGCAAAGATCATAAAGTCCTCAGGTTGAGCTCGCAGGCTATGATTCTATTCTGCACTGCTGCATCTATCTTTTTATCAAATGCAGCAAAAAGTGAGAGTGCTATTCTACTGGGTTTGACAGAGTCAACCCGGCACGCCACAGTTCTGCTGCCTCGTGATCGGCTTCCGAAAAGCAGAGCAAGGATCTGTTTATCAGCTGAGACAAGTACGTTCACATCAGCCCTTATGGATCTGTGCCAGCGAGGATGTGGGCACAGCACGATCTCACAACGAAAGCAGCACGCTCTGTCCATGTAATGACTAACATCTAAATTTAGGTGCTAATGGTACTTCTCATTTGCTGGTACTGCCTGTAACTTGCTTGCTTTGGTGCTGGAAGAACGAAGTATGATCTCATGGATGAAGGCAGAAACCATGGAAGACGGAAGGATGGAAGGCAGGAAGGAAGAAATCAAGCTACACTTCAATCTCCAGGGGATTCTCCGCTTCGTCCGCGAACACATCAGCAAGCCCCATCTCTTCCTTAGTACTCTCAGCATACTTTTCCAAATATCCTGCCACAACATCCTCCCCTTTGCGAACCCATTCGTCTCGGTTGGCCTGGGCGTAGTTCAAGTATTCATGGCTGGAAACGCCAAAGACACCACAGTTCTCCAGCTTCTTAGCCAAGGGAATGATGTAGAAGTCAAAAAATCCAATCTCCCCCTTGTACCATGCGATGGATGGATCCTGAGCTGCGCGTCCTTCTTTGTAGGCCCTGTACAGTTCAGAGAAGAACCGCTCGTTCCACTGGAGATAGATCTTCCAATGTTGCATCTGCAAGTGATGATCAACAAAAAGTCAAGTGAGTCCCAAAAGCTTCGATTGTGGAAAAGTGTGGCCATGCTGTCAAGCAAACTTACTGTGTGAGACACGTCGGAGGCTTGAATTAGATGCTCAATCTGCAAGCAAGAAAGAAGAGGCAGTTATTGTAAGGAATGGGTTGGGGCTGCTACTGATCTGGTCTATCCTTTCATAAGAAAACTTACCACAATGGTGGCCTTTCTATCGACCTCGAGGTCGCGGTCGCTTTTGTCGCCCAGGGCCTTCTCGGAGAAGGCCTCATTCCAACGATTCTTTCTCAACGCCTGGAGTTCTTTGTCCACAATATCAGTTGCTGTGATTTCCGACAATATGTATTGCTGTGAGTCTCCTGATGCAACATAAAGCTGGAAACCAGGCAACAGTCATCCACCGACTTACCCATGACCGTGTTGACCACGAGCTGCCTGAATCTCTGTAGTTGCTCAGGGTTGCCATAGATAGCCTTGCGCAAGTCCTTGTACTCAGGTTTCATCAACAAATCCCAGCACAAATCGACCGAATTCTGATGCCACAGAGCATATCAAAGAAAAAGTGGTTAGGACTTTAAAATCCAGAGAAAGACAACTCAAGTCGATTCTGTTGCGGTCTGGATACATACCTGTTCAGCCACACTCTTTTCTTTGTACATTGATGCTAGGGGGTTCCCCTCCTTGATCATCTGTGTGTTGGGGATGCCAGGGTGATCAGCTGTTGGCAGCGAGCAATGTCAGGTGAGCATACTCGAATTCATTTCTGAGAGTGCAAACTACGAAAGACCATACTTACCATCATGGATTACCGCGGAGAAGACAACCGCGAACTGAGTTAGAGGATCGGCGGTTATCCCGAAAGAATGCCCAGCATCGACTCCGAGGCCTTCACCGCCAGAGTTGCTCGCAACGATCCTCGTGAGGAGTTTTCGCACAGACGCCACGACGTGGCTTGCATGTTCAAAGTCTTGAGCAGGGCAGGCAGATGACAAGTGAGTTCACAGGTTTCAGATCGTCAAACAGACAACAGTACAAGACTTCACTTACTGTGAAAGCTGTTGGTGCGATACATCCCCGCTACTTTGGTGATAAAGTCACGCAGTTGGTCAACGACGACAGGGGCAATGTCAACTTCTTTCAGACCTTTTCGCTTTGCCATTTCCTCACGCGAATACTTGGGCAAAGTGACGATTGCTTGGAATTCTTCCAACACGGTTTGGCCCTTGCCAATCGTCTTCTCCAACTTTTCAGCAGACACTGGTGCCGCAGTGCGGCAGGCCAGAATTTGCCGAAGCAACTGACAGAGTACATCCGTGTTCCATTCCACAAGCCGCTCCATCTTCGTCATGGTGTCCCCAGATGTTTCCTGCTCTTCCATCTCCCTGAGACTGGCATCGCCCTCCGAAGCTTCGTCGATTGCCATCATGGCCTCGCCCATTGGTTTCTTGGCACTTTCTCTATTTTGATACTTGTTCACCAGCAACCAGAAGGTCTGCGTATCGCTTTGCTGTTAGAGGAGACGTGATGGCACAAGTATACATCAAGTGCAGCAAAACCTTACCTGCATGTCACCTTTGCCAGCAAGAGGTATTTTTTCTGCCCTGGGAACCAACCATTTGCCCTTGCCGGCCTTCTTCAGAAGCTCAGCTGTGAAGTCGGAAATATGAATTTTGCCAGGGATGCTGGAGGTCTCGATTCGCGAGGCTGTATTGACCGTCTATATGACACATCACAAGAGGTACCGGTATAGTATGAGTAACCGAGTCCAACACTCTGCCACAGATGGTACCCCTCTTAAATTACTCACATCTCCAAAGATCTGATAGCGTGCCTTATCGCCTCTGCAAACATAAAATAGCCAATGATTAAGTGAGATTCAGAACCTGTTCATTCCCCAATGACGAGCCAAGTCGCAAGAGCAAAAACTAAAACGACGCACCTCAATACTCCTGCAGTACATTGACCACTGTGTATGAAGAATGAAACAACCACATCAGTACGGTTGGCACTGGAAACTAACAAAGAAGAGTTCCGAGCATGTGCCCGAACCTACTTACCTGTGAAGCCCTACTCTCAATGCTGTGTGATCGATTCAACGAGAGGCAAATGTGTTAGCATTGGGTGGTCTTCCGATTTTAGCCTTGGGTTGTCTCCTCATCACCACAGAAGTCAAGCATCCGTTAAGTCAACTTACAGAGATCTCCAGTATCCGGACCAAGCGTGACTTCAAGCTTTTGTGTTACCGTCTTCATCTTCATCATGCAGGCTCTCGCAAACCTTGCCATGATGACAGGGTGATCATTACGGGGGTCAGGGACGCCAGCGGCGGCTAAGACGACATAATTCATTTGTCAGTGAGCGGGGCATTTTAAAAACGAGATCGCCTTGGTTAGAAGCTCAGTTCAATCATGCTGACCTACCAACATAGCAATCGCCCTGGTAGTGAAAGGGAAGAACATGCACCGTAATCAGACATCAACCAAAGTAAGAAGGATGAAAGGACGGGAGAATGGATGCAGTGACTTTTGGGTGACTCTTTGACTCACCACTGTTTCGACTACAGTGTGGAAGGGAAACACAATGCTTCACAGTGAGTGCCAAGTGGGAGGATATCAAGACGGCATATCAACAGACCAACAGGACCGACGTACCCTTGAAAACACCGTATCTGTTGGCAAGCTTATCAAATGCCGAGTAGATCTATTGACATGGAAAAATGGAAGACGTGAGCCACCAGGTATACATAAGGGTCACCAGGGTGAACCTAGAACTCCTTACAGTTTCCAAAAGCATAAAGACGAGAATTGGATCCTTTGCACTGGACCACGCCTGATGGGTTGCCATAAAATGATTAGAGAACGATTCGATTCACTGAAACAATCGCAAATCCCAATGCACACCCTGTCACCTTACAGTAAATCCCGCAATGTCCGCAAACATGATGGTCGTATTTACGAAAAGGTCCGCCAAGGGAGCACTCTTGAAGGTCTCGGGGTTCTCTAGGTCTTCATTGAACATCTCCACATGTCGCTTGGACACCAAAGAGCGAGCATCATCATCGTTCGAGCCCGAGTGATCTTGGTACATGCGCGCCCGGATCTGCGACGGAAAGAGGCTGGAAACAATCTTGTCTTCGCGAATCAACCGTTGCATGACCTTGACTTGGCGTCTGCGGACCATTTGGTCGTAGAGGACAAAGATGAGACTGGTAATGGCAAAGATCAGAACGACTGGCAGAAAGACACAGACAAACAGAGTGAGCGAAAGAGTTCTAGTACATCGGTTAGGTGCACCTCTTGCTTGCAAGCACGTACCGGCTCCAGCATACATCAAGGGAGTATAGGTGACAAAAGTGCTTTCCAAGCTCGAGGAAGGATAGATCTTCAAGACAAGATCGTCGACACAAACATCTTCTGGCATTGGTTTGGTCCTGTCATAGACTGGAGTGAAGAGTTCTCCTGTAACTACCATGTCATCATAGGCTGGATCATGCATGTCTTCCAAACCCAACAATTCGGCTTCCAATCCTTCAAGGGCAAAAGTGGAAACAAAGCCACAGCTGCTCTCAACCACCACAAAGAGGGTTGCAGGGACATTGACCAAGTTTTGAAAGTAGAGGCCCCATTCACCAAGGGACCAAAGGGCTCCAACCATCTTACCGTGGGTGACTTGATCAAAAATGGGTTGAATGACTTGACTTTGAAAGCCTACGTTACGTCCAAAGAAGAATGCAATTGAGGCAATTCCGGTCACGTTGCTCGTTTCAAACCCACTCCGAATACGAGAATTTCCCAGCACACTGACAAAGGGAAAGGCATCAGCTCGTTTGGGGTCGACGGGGGACTTTTGCCAGTGCGGAAGGGTGTTTCCTGTGTCATTGTTTCCCACCGGAAGAAGCACTCCGCCGGAACCGTTGCGGACCATGATTTCTTCGTAGATGGTGAGATTGTCAGCTCCCCAGGTCTCATTGGCGTGTCCGTAAAACTCCAAATCTTCTTGGACGAGGTCATGGGCCCGTTCCCTGGCATAAGCTTCCCATCCTAGCTTGTTTTCCTGGCTGACTAGAGTGAGCAAGGTGACTGCATGGTGCCCTGTCAACCTGTTGAGCCTGCTAGCTTTCAAGGGAAAGTCATCAACGGTCACGTTGGGCCATACTTCATTCATGGATCTGGCATGGGACGAAACAGTCAGAGCAAACTGCTCAATGGTCTCAAAGGTCGTTGAGACATGATCTCCGGAAATGGCAATCACTTCCGAGGCCCAGTTCTCAAACTAAACAAAGAAGGGTGAAAACGTGGATGAACAGGAGTGAGCGACATGGGTCATTCAAGAGACATTTCCCAACAAACTCCAACCAGACCAAGTCTTACCCTAGCTTCAAACTCTTGCTTCTCCTGACTGCTGACCAACTGGTAGACACCTGCTGCCATGCCCGCCACAGCGGCCAACAAGACCAAGACCACAGCAATCTTGGAGTACAGGACCAACTTTTCTTCCTTGGCGGCAACCACAGGGGCCGCGTAGTCGGCGCGTTCCTCGTCGCCACCGCCGTGGGTACTCCCGGCATCAGACCCCCACCCAGAGGACATGGTATCCGAGAGAAATTCCTTATCGCTGCCAACAGAGCTTCTTCGGTGCTCGATGCTGGCTCCCATGCTCTTTTCGGTGCTTTTGTTGGCCATGGTGATGAATTAACTTAAAAATAAAAACACAAGTCTTTGAAATATTGTACTTCTCTCTTTTGGTGTGAGAAAGGGGAAAAGTGGACGCTCCGACGAGCTTCCCGATGTGGATGCAAAATCGGGGAGTAAGAAGTGGCTGAGTAGTCTAGCTAGCAGAGGCTAAAGGCTCGGGCTGAACATTCTGCACTCACCAGTTGATTGACAATGTTCCCGAATTCCAATGTCTTCCAAATTTATTGGCAAAGAACGCTGGTCAAAACATCATGAGAAAGTCAGTTGCAACAGCTTTGTACTCCAGCTCGGACGCTCCAAATAGTCTCTAATTACTAGGGTGCTGTATAAGCGAAATAGAGCTCGCTCTTCTTTATCTTCATCTCTTATGCCCTTTGCCCTTTTGATTTTTGATGTCAAGCACTTACTACTAGTACTTTAGTAAGTTGATTTTGGGGCAATAACTCTCATTCTGACCAGTAATTCTTTGTGATTCTTTGCCCATCTTAAACCTTGTTCAGGATTCAGGAGTGTACAGGTAGGTGATCTCTTCTCCGATTCAATAATTAATTTTGGGATTTGGGACTGAGCTGAGCCTGCGGTTCTGAGAAGGGGGAGAAGCGATTTATCAAAAGGAAGAACTGGGTCATCCTGGAAAGATGTAGCCAGTAGGCAGCCAGCTCAGTGCTGACGTGCTGTCCAACAGCTCAACAGCCCATTCGAGCTGCAGGGGGGTGGGCAAAATTTGCAATAGCCCTGTATTGTATTGGAGTGTGACTCGCCAAAATCAGTTAAAAAGACAAAATTCGTATTTTTGCCGGAAGATAAATTTAATTGGATTGCATTGGATTGGATTGCATTGAATTGGATTGAATTGGATCCCAAATAGTACTGTTATTTATATAGTAAACTGTAATTCAATGCAATCCAATCCGATCCAATGCAATCCAATCTAATCCAATAGAGAAAAACAGCCAAAGTAAAAGATTGGCTTAGCGTACACAATTTTTACAAAAACGCTCTAACAAATTCAACACAGAGCCATGGGCAAGTTTGCTCATCCCCCAGGCCTCGTTTTGGAAGGCAGTACATGTACTAGTACGTCGAACCGTTGTGTGGATGGAATAGGTAGCCGTCCTACTGGCTAGCTAGCTAGGCATGTACAATGTCATGTACATGTACCGTAGCTCCTTCCGCAGTGCCGTGAAGAGGAATGAGAGAGTCTTTTGAAAGGCATTGGGAGCAGCGTCTTGGTCATCCTTCGAAGAAAGCAAAGTCTATGATACTCTCAAGTATTCTCTCACTACTCCGAGACTTCTTTTGTCTTTTGTTGAACAAAGTGTCAGCAGCTTTGTTTCATGGGGCGTTTGGGCGTTTGCAGGTAATAGCAAACGTACTATTTACTATTCAGCAGCTCAAGAGGCTTCGACAACCCGGTTTTAGAAGGCAATAGGTGTAGGAGGAAGGAGGGTTCCTCCTCCTTGCCAACAAGATCAGACAGATGACCATGATACTACGATGATAGATCGAGTCGAGAACGATGCTGTTGCGCTGTTGCTGATGTATGTAGTATGTAGAACGAACCGTAAAAGGCGTTCATCAATCCACCCAATAGAATACCGGTACCAATGCAGTGCACTGGTGCACACCTACTAGCTAGTTTTGATGTTCGTCAGTGAGATCATGTAATTATGTATGTGTTGACCATTGACTTTTGCTTGTAAAATCGGTGATTCCATTCAACTCGAAGGCCTCTCGGCCTCTCAACTCTCAACAGCTCTCTCAACTCTGTCAATCTTCAAACTCTGATTTTAAAACCACTTGCCGGGGAGTATTGGGAGCCACGAATGAGTACAAGAAGGAGCAGGGGTGGTGGTCAGGGAAAGAAACCTACCTTACTGAGTAGCTCTCTACTACACGTAGGAAGCAAGTAGAAGCAAGACCGAATCCTGAAGACTGCATCGAAGAATAGAAGAAAGTAGTCTAAGTCTTGGCTTCTTCATGGAGTTTCGTGCGGTTTTCCACTACTAATCTTGTAGCTACTAGTAACTAGTACTCAGTAGCTGGTAAATTTTGAGATCGGAGAGCTTTGAATAATCTAAGATGCTTGCCTTGAAGGTCGAGCGAATAATGGAGGCCTGCCCATTTCCAATGCATGTTGCCAATGGCCAAAACCGGAACGAATTATGAAAAGCATGTTGCAGCAAACATTATTGAACTGCCACAGCAACATCAAATAGATCAAATACTTCCCGTGTCAGAGCGCTTGATTGCTACCGTCGCCAAGATTCGGCCTTTGATTTCATGCGTTTCGCCTTCGAATGTCTGTCCACTAGCCAGTACTGTAGCTAGTAGCTAGGAGTGTGATGGAAACTATGGTAAATTATCCGCCTCCCTACTAGTAGCTACCGGTAGAGCTACCGGTAGCAGGCATCTGGAGTGCGAAGGGGGCAGAATGATTGAATCATTCGATTGAATCATTCGATTGAATGATACTCATCAGATTCTGTCGGTCGAATATATCGCGAGCATGCCAGTCCCATCGCGAGCATGTCAGTCCCTCTTCTAAAAGCCGGCTTTACTGCAAATACCATTCCACTACAGCGAGCACCAAGCTACTGGATGTTTGTTGCTGGCTTGGGTTGTGACCTCTACTCTGAAACTTCATGTTGCTGAGTATCCTACCACCGTAGCTTTATGTAGTCCTACCCCATCACCCAAATGACAAGCATACGCATGACCGAACCATGGAGTCGAGTGCTCATCTAGAGCAATGTCAAACGCTTGAAGGCCTTGGTGAAAGCAGGAGTCGTTGTCGACTCTACAATACCCAATGTGCCTCTGCGTGGGGTTCGACTTGGCTTGTTTCGGCCAGTTGCAGGTTGTTTGATTTTGTCTTGCATCATGATGACTTTGAACTCTTCAAAGGAGATCGAGCCAACATGCCCAACATCGAGATCATCCCCACACCCCAACACTTCTCTGATGTTCTTGGCGGATATGTGGCCTTTGTTTTCCTTATCAAATGTTTGGAAAGCTGCGTTCATTTTGCCGTCATCCACCATGTTCTCTTCCATCATGATGGCAATAGCAAGCTCTGGCAATGGGGCAATGAATGAGCTAAAGGTATCATATGCAGACAAATCGCACAAGCAAGGCTACGGCTCCTTCCTTACCAGAATAAGTTATCTTCCCTGTTCTCGAAAGGTTGACGTGCTGAAATACTTCATCAATCTCCATGTCGGTCATTGGCTCTCCATGCAGTTCTTTAGAGCTTTGTCTCAGATCATCTGGACAGAGGCAGCCATCGCAATTCCGGTCTAGAGTACGAAAGTTGAGGTCGATCTTCTCCTTTTCTTCTTTGGAGAGCAACCTCGACATGATGGCACAAGCCGCATTTTTCAATTTCGATCTCTGATTCTTGAAGTGCTTGAGTTCTGCAAGCGAGTTTTTCAATGATGAGCGTTTGGCACTGTCATCTTTTAATGCAGTGGAACGGAAAGACTCGAGCCAGGGATGCTTCAATGCCTGCTCTGCGCTGGGTCTTTCGATTTCATCGTAGGAAAGGAGATACGCCACGAAGTCAATGGCCTCGTCGGAAACGCCATCCCACGCACCGTCATCAAAGCCAAAATCCATCTTGCCTTGCACAATCGCATCCAAAGTTGCTTCGCTGGTTTTTCCGCTGAAAGGCACTACGGGCGAAAACGGGGAAGAAGAAAGACAGCGAACGATCCATTGATTGAGAGAACTTCTCAGCAATCGAGGTACAAATCTGAAAAAATGACGCAGCCCTTCACCTACCGCAACCAGTGAGGAGAATAAAAGCAACTACGCCCACACTCCATATGTCACACTTGCTTGTGTAAGTGCCTTCAAGGATTTCTAACATGGGGAAAAGAAAAGAAGTTTTGAGGGAAGGAATGAAGAAGAGCAAATCATGCCAGATCACCGACGGCGTACGGTAGCAAGCACTCACGTGGAGAAAAGTAGTACAAGGACCCCACTCCTTCGTGGAGAATACCATCCTTTTCCTCGAGTGTCGCCGCGAGTCCAAAGTCGATGATTTTGAGATCTTCAAATCCCAAGTGCTCCTCCAGGAGAACGTTCTCTGTTATCATAACGAGAGTTGTGAGATGGACAACCCTTCCAGTTTGGGATTGAATGTTTCAGTTCGGTTTGATTTGTATTACCTACCTGGCTTGATGTCCCTATGAACAAGGTTTTTCTGTTGTTGCAAATCCAGCACTCAAATGTCAGTGCACGCATATACGTTGTTGGATATCTGCATTGCCTGAATTGCTTGTTAGCAGACAGTAGACTCACCTGGTGACAGTAATTGACACAAGTCAGCATGGTGTTCATGATTTTCCTGACATCTTCTTCGGCCAAAGTTCCCATTTCTTCCAACACATCAAACAAATCCCCTCCCTTGTAAATGTCGGACACAATGTAGAATTGCGTGGCATCCTCAAACATGTCATAGACTTTGATCAAGTTGGGATTATCGAGAGACTGAATTGTTTGGAATTCCTGCACCACCTGTTGGTTGGCTTGTTCGTCCCCCTTGGGCAAGATTTTGACAGCTCGCTCGTATCCACTTTCCATGTGCGTACAGGCAAACACTTTGCCATATCCACCCTCTCCCAACAGCAGTTTAGGATTGATTTGGTAGAAATCCTCTAGTGTTTTCCCGTCGTGTTGTTGTGTGGCTACGTGTTCGCAATGAATGGCAAGGGTGGCTCGTCGGGCACGGTTTACAATTGCCTCGGTGGCATCATCGTGTCCATCATTGACTGATTCTGGAATGTTGGCAGCACAGGAATCCGCCACTTTTGCGGGTGCTACGGTCTCCCTAGTAGTTGTACTTGGCGCAGGTGTTGGAAGATTCTTCGATGAGGTGTAGGCCGAGTCTGTTCTTGGTGAAGAAACATGGACATTTGGAGGAGTCTGATGATGATGATTGTTGTTGTTGGCAGAGCTTTGTTGTGGTGGTTGCTGCTGCTGGATCAATAGTAGATTTGTCAAGGTTGCCAGATTCTGTTTGAGATCTTGAAATTCTCTGGCTTGTTTCGTCAGCATGGACTCGATGGTAGCCACTTTTGTCAAGAGGAGATTGTTTTGCAACCGGAGGTCTTGGAGTTGGCGCTGCGTTTCCTCCAAAGTCTCATTGTTGTGCAGGTTGTTGTATTGTCCGTTGGCTTCAAAAGCAATGCGAAGAGACCCAATGGTGGCTTTGATCTCCTCGACCGTGACGGGTGACAGGTGTTTGGGCAAGGATGCCAATAAATGCTGCAAGACTAAATCAAAGTGTGTTTCATTGAGGCCTTTGGCAAAGAGGTGCTGATGCCGTTCCCCAATATAGTGAATGACATCCAAATCGTCGGGTAGTTCGGTAAAGATCATTTCGAGAAACTGATGCTGATGCTGTTTCAATCGTTCCATGTTTTTGCCAGTAAAGAGAAATGCCAAGTCTGGATCCGCCAACAGACGATCGTAAAAGACGCGAATCAACTTGGTCAGTTTAGAAGGTCCTCCCAGCTTGGCGAGTAGTGTCAGTTGTTTCTCCTGTTCTTGCCGTGCTCGTTCTTCAAAGACGGGACGCAGTCCTTTCAGGACCTCCATGATTTCCTGCAGCACGGCATCATCCACACAGTGTTCTTGAAAGGCCGCCTCCAAATGCTCCAACACGAGATCCAAGTGCTCTTCGCTCAGACCTTTCTCGCGAAACATACGATCGTGTTTGGCCAGCAAAAACTGAACCTTGTCCAGTGGGACTTCCACCACCACTACTTGCGTACTGGCAAATGCCATTAATGCTTCCAAAAACTTGTACTGATGCGACGCCAGCACGGCCATGTTGACGCCGTCAAAGAACGGAGCCAAAAACGCATCCTGAATGATGCGCTGATAGAACGTGTCCACAATGGCACGAAGGAGGCTCGGGCCGCCAATGCGATCCAATAGTTGCTCTTCGGCTTGCCGCTTTTCAAAGCCCGTCAGCGACGTACGAGAGGTGGCTCTACCAGTAGTGGAAGTAATAACCATTGGTTTGGGAGGGTGGGAGGTTGTCATTTAGTTTGTATATACCGATAGGTTGGATTGGTGGGGTATCAATATCTTTGCTGCCAATTGCCAATGCAAACGAGAAAGGGGAAAGAACAAAATAATGAGCACTCTCACGGGTGCCGTAAACATTCACAGGAACTTTGAGACGTGATGCGAACGCGAATGTCCCAAGCACTCCTCCTTAACCACTGAAATAGCAGGGATTTAGATGATGCGACCACTGTAGTTCTTACTGGGAGCAGGATTTAACTCGTTTGACTCGTTTCAGAGAATATTGGAACCTGAGTTGCAGTTCATGCATTTCCTTATTTCCTTGCCCAATCAAGCAAAAGCTGCCACCACCAGAGCATTCGCACACCAGCCCCACAAAGGGAACACGTATCCCTTCCCCAGAGCAGGCCAATCCCGCTGTCATAAATCTCTGAGTCGAGTCATGGATCACAGTTAGCCAGAAGCAAAGCAACATCAGAAGCAAAGCTGCGAGATGCCTATCAAAGCCAGCTAGAGTGACTGGTCTCATCGCCATCCATGACAGTCGGGATTGAACGTTGTTGCAGAGCGACTTTCACAATCCTTACTTACTTCTTTGTGGAGGAAAATTGAGGTGCACACAGCTTGCGACAATTGCAAGGAAACTCAAGAAGAAACGATGCCCAAACTACGGACCATGGAATTATTTGAAGGCCAAACTCATCAGAGTGACAGCCAACTGTAGCACGTACAGTAGTATGATCGAGACCCATATCTAGCTATAGTTAGCGACTGCACGTGCTCTTGTCTTCCGCAGCACCTTCGGGCGGTCTCCGGAGCGAGTCCTCCGTCAGAGAGATGGCTGGATGATTGAACACTTCTGCCGTCATCTCCTGAGGTTCCCTTCCACTTCCATCTTGGCTTTTGCTTCATGAAGGATACTTTCCTTTCGTCTCACGCTGCAGCAAGCATCCAAAGCATGTATGTAGCTACTTACTCGAGTTCTTGTAGCGGGCACTGGCTGGAAGTACGCGACTAGGTGGGAATCACAGGAATCTTCAAAGGCTTCTCGGCATGGTTTTAGAAAGAGTGTTCCCCTCCTGTGCTGTGTGACAGTGGAACTTGAAATTGAGCTTCTGTTTCGGTCTATATCGTGATCGTACATCACGCACTTGGCTAAGCACTGTAGGTTTACATAATACGTCAGTTGTTCTGCCTCTCGATAGTGAAGGGCTCTGAGTAGCTAGCTACACTAGTAGCACGTCTCGTTGTGACGTCGCATGCGTGATGCTAACACCACAAATTGATTCAACCCCAAAGGATGAGAAGGAAACTGCCGTCGCACGATTCTCGCACCGGCACATGATGTGATTTGCTTTCGTTTTCGTTCGTGGTGGTGGTGGGAGAGTGGTACGGTACTCGCGGTGGTTCCAAAACAGGAAGCAACAATTGAGAAACTGCAAAGTCCAAACTAGATTTTTTCTAAAGGTAAAATACACTCGATCTGCGAGAAGCAAGATGGAAGGTAGAGTAATGAGTCAGCAGCTCATGAGCCCACTCCCAGGATATCAACGCTCAGGGTGGTTGCATTGAAAATGTGGATTCGATTCTTTCGCGGAATGTCAGCAAGCCTCGATCCAACATCGTGCGAAAAAACAATCGTATGGATCAAGGCACGGGAGGATTGCGTGAATGACGATGTTGTGCAGGCAAAGACTCAATGCTAAGAAGGCAACCAGAAGGCAACCAGAAGGCCAGGCGTAAAGGCCATTCATCAACTCAGATTGGCATTTGCTAGGGATGCCAAAGCAATTGAACGAGCTCAGATTAGCCTCCTCTAGTAGTAGATGTGTCGCCAGACCAAGAAAAAACGAGGCCGTCAAGGAAATGGGAAGAGCTCAGATTGGTCTTCTTGATGGAGCGGCCATTTTGCCAACGGATGAGGCTGTCAAGGCAATGCAACGTGCTCAGATTGGGCTTCTTGGCGTTGCTCCAGCGGAACGCACACAAACTCAAGGTTGCCCGTAGCATCTCGCGGGACGTGGCAAAGGAGCAGGCTTTGCGGACGGCCGTGGCGAACAAATTTTGCAAGGAATTTCGGATTTAGTCCGCAGTCACTGCGTTAATGCTCTTGGTTTTTCCCGGTGGAAGGGTCATTACAGAGCTTTAACGATGGGTCTAAATATTTAATGTGCGAAGAGCAGAAGACAGAGAAAAGGTCATTGCAGAGAGTTAGCGACGAGTCGAACTATTTAATGTCCTCGTGCTCCGACGTGGATGAGTCATTAAGAGCCCTCAGGACAGGTCCAAATATTTAATGGCCGGTCTGCCCCACCTTTGAAACGGGTGCCCGAAAACTTTCCCGCGAAAAAAACCGTCCGCAGATCACTCGTCTACTTATTTTTCCAGCATCTTCCTCAAAACCTGGATGTACATGATGTCCCGGTGGTGTCGATGAAGGGTTTTGGCTGCCTTGTCGCTCTAGCCTGGCCTCATCCCTAACAAAGACTGGCTCAACTGACGTCAGAAATCCCACGATCCGAGCAGCCCTCCTCTTCACTCTTCACTCTTCCGGACGGATCAAGATAGATGATTGATGTTATACCCATCCTCTTTTACAGCGGCTAGATATTACGATATTACTCCCCTTTCAGGGTTACTACTCCACCACCATGGCATGATCCGAAAGGCTGGCTGGAAACAGCGGCAGCGGCAGCGAGATTCTTCTGTTCAAGGACTTCTTTCTTCATCTTCCACGCTGGGACAGACACCTCGCTTCTCTTTTAAAAAGGCCGGCATGACATGACACAAAAGCCTCGGATATCTACCACGGGAGAGTTCCATCGGCTACAGACACTTTTGATTGCCTGCTTGGAAGCAATGTCAATCGACCACCGTTCGTACCGGTACCTTTGCCGACGGCCGTTTTAGTTTTTGAAATAAAACGGCAATTCCATGACGCGCTCCATTTTTGATTTTTGATGTTGACACCTTGCCGTTTTGATGTTGGTCTTGCCAAAATGAAACGATCGTTTGGCTAAATTGCATGAAACGACGGTTGCCTCTCTTTTTCTCTCTCAAAACACAATCACAACTTCTTCCAACATGCATGACGATGACATCCTTGCCGGTGCTGCTTGCAGGAGAGTGACTGGGCTTCCCCTCTGTGGGGGTCCACTTGGCACTCTTCGCCGGCAATGGTGTTGTCTTGCGGTGGTTCCAGTGGGTTGGTTCGTCCTCCTGCAACGGTAAGTCCACTTGTTCCTGTCTTTTGTGCCATTGCTACTTTCACGGTCATCGACCGTTGTCGCCTCAATCTCCTTTAGTTCCCAACATAGGTCTTGACAATGATGCTTTGCCCGTTCGTGACTCAGTCATCTTGCGGTGGTGCAAGGCAACAAACAGGTACGGTCCGCTAGCGAACGGCATGCATGCATGACATTAGTAGTTCTTTGCTCCTTGCGAGTCAACATAAACGGCGTTGGAAGTGGAGGGGGTGGAAACTTTACAAAGCCTATCCTTCTTCACTTCGCTGAACCAAAGTGGCATGCATGCATGCATGCGCCTTGCTTTGACTTTTGCTCTGGATTGAAGTCTAACCGTTTGTCGTTTCCTTGTCTCTTAGGTCTCTCAATATTGGCCGTTCGTTGACTGTCCACATCCTCCATCAAACTCGTCCACCCGCCATCTTCCTCCAGTGCTCCTCCTTCCTCCATGAGGACCGAGCCGTTGCCAAAAAGCTTCCTTTCTCCAACAACTTTCCCAGCCGTTGCCAACACGCACGCGTCTTAACGTAGGTCTTGAGGTCTTGACAATGATGCGTCGACCGCTCGTGTTCGAGTGGCAAACGTCCATTCATCGTCAAGTCCGCTCCGATACAAGTCATCATGCAACCCAAGCCTTCATTATCCCGTTCACATTATCCGGTTCGTCAAGTCAAGTCAATCACGACGACGCGTCAAGACTCCCACGTCAATGTCCATGCTACCAATACTGTTGGTTGGTTGGTCGGTCGATCGGTCGGTTGGTCGGTTGTCGGCGGTTGTCAGCTAGTGCTCCGTGACCCTTGGATCTGATTGTCCCAGCTGGTGTCGCGTTCAAGTCTTCTTCTTCTCTCCCAAGACATGCATGACGATCGCTCTTCGCCGACAATGGTGTCGTCTTGCGGTGGTTCCTCTGTGGAGTGGTTCGTCCTCGTGCTGGCACGTTGGGTTGCTGGTTGTTTGACAGTCCATCCCCCTGTGCTGCTACCTGTCTCTTGGTCTATTGGCTGCTGCTACCTGTCTCTTGGTCTATTGGTGGTGACTTCTTGGATTGCTTGGGATTGCTGGGAGCAGGGATGTGGTAGTGATTGTTGCAGGCTGCTCCGAGTGCTTCTTTAAAGGCACTGACATGAAGAAGTAATTCTCGCTCGGATTGGATTTGTACTGGAGAAGCATTCGGAGCAGCCACAAGTTTCACTGCTACCTGTCTCTTGGTCTCTTGGCGGTTCCTTCCCGTGGTTCCTTCCTGTGATGTCATTGGCCGTTCGTTGCAGGCGCCGCCTCCTCCAAGTGGGCAACCCAAGACCACTTCATCTGCCTCTTCCTTCCTTCACACTTCCCGAAACTCAAATCCTCCTGGGAACAACTAGCCTGCTAACCAGGCTGCTGTTGGAGTTCGTGTTCGAGTCTCAACGACAATAAATTGGTGTCATTTCCGGAGCTCCCTTGCCGGTTTGTTGGATGCTCGGTCCCTTTGATGCTTGGCCTTGTCTCTGTCGGTCGGGTTGGTCGGTTGGCTGGTTCCTTCTCTCCGACCGTGACCCTTGGATCTGGCTGGCTGGTTGGCGTCGAGCTCCTGTTCACTCTTAGATAGCTTAAGTCTCACACTTCTTCTCTCTCTTGAGGTTCCAGCCGTCTTCTTGGTCTCTTTGGCTGGTCGGGCTCAAGACGAATCATCCTACTGCACTTCCTACAGCTCCACCAACCAATCATCCCACAAATCCACGTCAACACCACCTACCAACTCTCCCACTTCCCCGCCACGACTCCGCCGTCAAACCCTCCCAGCTCCTCCCACCAAAATCCTACAGCTCCCACCAAATCCTACAGCTCCCACCTTGCCTCAAACTAATTCCCCAACAGAACCTCCAGGCAGCTCCACAACCAACGCTCCTCCAGCACCGCCCACGAATCCACCTACCAACACTCCTACAGAATTATTCTAGCTAAAGTACGCCTCAGAGTTCTCTTTTAAGATCAGATCCAAGGGCCACGGAGCACAAGGCAGGAACCACCAACCAAAAGGAGCAGCCAAACCAGGGAGACCAAGGTGGAGCACAGCAGCACCGCCCACCAACACCGCACAGTTGCTGCAATGTGGCTCTTCCTTTTCCCGTTACAAATCCACCTACCAACACCGCCTACTAACTCTGCCACCAATCCTCCCAACTGCACCGACTCCCAACAATTCCCCATGTGGCTCTTCCTTTTCCCGTCGGTTGGTCGTCAAGATGATCCAAAGCCAGCAACAATGGTTTGTGTCGTGATCGTCTCATCTCTTCTTTTCTTCTCTTAAGATTTCTCGTGCTTCTTCTTTCCTTGGGTAACACGAGCGACAGCGACTTCCCAAGCTTGCATCTCCACTGTCCATTCGGACGCAATCTCTTCTCCGGAGCACTCCTTCTGGAATTGCTTCGTTCGTTCAACAGTTTGCTTATCTGGCCCCGTCCCAAGTGAGTCCCACCATGACAACCCTTGATTTTTTTGAAAAGCTCGCAACGCCTTGACTTGGACCCTTCCACTACTGTACGGCTTTGGTGCACACCAGTTGCTTCCTTGGATTTGAGCGCCGAGTCTAGCTCGAAAGTGATGGTTAGACTAGCTTGTCGACAAGCAAAGGTTGAGGACACGGTGTTTTGAGAGAGCCAAGAAACGATACATCATGTCATACGAGATGTAACCGCGTGCGTTTCGTCCACGTCTCTCAGGACTGTTTACCACACTTTCGCAAGCAGCTTGCGTCGGCTGGATGGATCCAATTGTCAGAACGCAATGTATTTCTATTCTTTACAGTTTTTAAAATTAACTATGCTCCAAACTGAACTGAACAGCCGACCGACCAAGCAAGCTTCTTTGTTAGTAATCACACAGTACAGTGTCAACGCAACGCTGGAGGAACATGCACTGTGACGGACTGTCGGATCAGGTCTGCTTTCGTACGACCAAGTCGAGTGAAAGGCAAACCTTCATTCACAGCCCGGCATTAGTGACAGATGTTCCACCAGATAGAGGACGCGGGTGCACGTGTGGGTAGATTTCATGGTACAGTACCGTACTGTTCTGAAGGTGTTTGTTTGATCATCATGACTGGTGGAAGCGTCCAAGAGCCGTGGATTGTCGAGTAAGTAAGGCACACGCTTGCTTTCGAGTTGGTTGGTGTTCTTGGCGTCAGAGATGAAAGGGTAGCATGTGTGCACAACCATGCTGCTCTCGTCATTCCCAAGTAATTGTACATCATACATTCCCATCCCTATTGAAAGCCATCGCCATGATGATATTGTTCTGAAATGGCAGCAGGTATTTCCTCGGAGGACGATTTGGAACTGTGGCTCTTTCGGCTACTGGTCCGTTGTTGATCGCGTGTTTCTTCGATTGCTGCTTGAAGTCGTTCCATATCAAAGGGTTTGCCGACACTTTCTTCCAGTGCATACGTGAGCTCTCCCTTTTTGTTGAACACGAGGACCCCACCCGTCATCCACGGCGACCGGAGTACCTTGACATTGCGGGGACTGTGCCAAAATCCCTTTTTGAAATAGCGTCCTTGAGCTTTGATCAGTTTGTACATCAACTTGAAGGGTCCCACTTTGCGTCCTCCCATGGCATGGTAGAGTTGCCACTTTTCATCCTGATAGACGGGATATCGTTGAAAGAACGTCTTGTAGAATGTCAACAATCCGACGTCATTGACGCCCGTCTCCTTGACGGTAGCCAACAGCGCCATCTTGGGGTCGCTTGCCGCGAGCTCGGCCAATTGTTGACCGTGCTCGCGGCAGCTGGCTCACCCAGGTTGACGCACGGCAAAGAGAATGGTCACATTGCCGCGTTGCGATCGTCGTTGCTGGGCGACGGCATCCGCGAGTAGTCCCGTACTTCGTCGTGTGACCATGTCAAACTGACAGTTCAATTCCCACAAGGGAATAGAAGACACGGACGGCATGTTGGCGTAGTCAATCTTGGAGGGAATGCTCATGGCCGCCATCATGGATGATGTATTGGTAGTGCAGATGGTATTCGATGCTTCATCTTCTTTCTCGACATGTACTGCAGTGCCGGTGGTGGAGGCAGCAGCGGTACCGGTAGATCGTCGGGGGAACGCCATGGTTCCGTTAGAGCACCAAAATGGCACGAGAAATTTCGTTTTTGGAGCAAGCTCACAAGGCAGCTAAAATATATTTTATGAGGGTGCTCTGACAGCTCTGACATAGCACAGTTCCTTTTCTACAGTGGTAAGGTCTACATGTAGCTAGCTAGGACTTGGTTGTTTGTTCGTGTTCCATGTTCCATGTTCTATGTTCCATGTGGCCATTTGGCATGGATGCAATGCCAGGGCAATGGATAATGGATGTTTCATCGTCGTTGATGTGGTTTTGCGGGTCTGACGAGGCAAAGCGTGCGTTTGGCTACCGTAGAACTCTGAGTTACTAGTATCCAAGATTGGCCCCTATTTCTTCTTTATCAAAGAACCTTGTAAAGAGAGCTGTAAAGAGCACGAGAATGTTCGACAATGCCAGATATTAAATCATTTCGGTCAATCTTTAGGTCATCTTGGGGTACCACAAGCTATTGGGACATTGGGACCGATCCGGATCTGATCTTTGCGGTCTGAGGTTAAGCCTTGTCGTTGGACGAGCTTACATCAATAAATCATTTCGCTCAATACTCAAGTCATCTTACGGTACCATTCACTTTCAAACGATTCATTCTGCTGTTCGGGATCGAAAGGATCTTCTTTTCTCTACTGGTACTGTCATCATCGGTCTTTATTTAAAAAAGAAAGCTTAATATGATCAACATCTTATCTGTGTGGGTTTGCCATGGTTTGGGATTGAAATTACTGCAGGAAAGCAGGCTCAAGGAGTGCTGCTGCTGATTTTGACTCGGAGGTGCCGTACTAGCTAGTCTAGTACTGGGGTGTCATGAGCAGCTTCAATGAATGAATGATTCAATCGAATCAATCCTCAAAGTGGATTGAAGTTTAATAAAACTGTGCACTGGGCTTGGTTTGCTGTGCTGCAGCTACCGGTACGGATAGGGCCCGGGGACACGAGTTTGCTTTAGTTAGATTGTATGTACTGTCTGACATACTACTGATTCCGATTGAATTGTCCTTTTCCAGTGGTCGGAAGCTGATTTCCGACCCTCCGAAGAGGATTTCGGGCCCTCGGAAGGGAATTTCCCTTGAGATTTACTTAAGAGATATTCTCCTTTTAAGGATAGAGGTAGTTGTTGAAAAGGTTTGAACCGTATTGTCAGCGGAGTATCTTGTACTCCTGGCCACGGCCATCAACGAATGAAAAAGACAAAGTATGGGTGAGGCTGGCTCGTGAAGAAGTTTCATGAATGACGTCGAAACAAGTCACGAGTACAACTTACCACTGGAAGAGCAAAGCAAAATCGAACCTCCAAGAATGGAAGCAACCCCCGAAAAAGATCGCCAAGAGACCCAACAAGTGACCACTGATCATGTGTGGATAGCCGCTGATAGTAGTTACCGTAACAACAACATGAAAAAAATCGCGAAAAAAATCGCAAAACAACAAGACCATGACGGCAGGAGGCCATGGTCGATCTTTAGTAGTAGGAATTTAGATGAAGATAAGCAATGTATTAAGAAGTGCTTAGCAGGCATCAGAAGTGATGATCGCTGATGTGGATCTCGCAGATTTGCTGTCAAAGCTTCGCCAACTCGTGAGATTCCGCTCTCATTTTTTTGAATAGAGTCAAAATTTTGACACTCCAATAGACCAGAGACTCCTCCATGCTCGCATTGGCCACAAAACCTCCTCACAATGGCGCCTCCATCTGATACTCAACCCCATTCGGAAATTTCTTACTGGCCTGTGTCCATGATGGCCAAGAATGAAGCATTGGATGGCCATAGTGGCCATATTGGGTTTGTAGCTTCATTGGACCAAGAAGGATGTCAGGGCAAAGCAATCGCAAGAGCAATGATGGACAGCAACAGCCGTACCATGGAGTCCCTCACCGTTATCTGCATCGCCCTTATCCGTATGCACCGTATGCACCGTATCCATCGTATCCACCAGTGCCGTACATGCAGTATGGACACTCGTACCCACCGACGCATGGGATTCCATCGTATTTGCCATCCCCGCCATCAATCGCTAGTGGAATCGCTGGATCATTTCTTGAACCCTATTGTACAATACCCACAGAAACAGCTAGACGCCAGGACGATTTCCGATATGAAGCAACATGTCGGGCTTGTACCAGCAAGAATGAAGGAAAGGCTTTGATTGAAGAACGATATGGAGGAATCGTGACTATTCACGGCAAAAGAATGCAATGCGTCAAGCCTGATGGGGCGCATACTCCTAAGTCGGAAGATCCGTACAGGAAGAATTGGAAGTTTGCTTGCGCCTGTAGACCAACTTGCAAATGGAGGATGCAGCTCCGACAGTATGGAAGAAACAATCCTGAGCTACCGGATTCAATAGTATGCACCACCGACCTGGTCTTCCTTGTGTTTGTGAAGCAAGATGTTAAGATGCACAGCCACAAAATGGATCCACCCATGCTGCAATCCAACGAGCAACATGGGCTGCCATCTGCAGTGCAGCATTTGGTGGATGATTACCTTGCTAGTCAGACGAAACAAGGAACATGGATTGGTCGCATCACAGCGGGGAAGATTATGCCTTATGTTCTGGAGAAACTAAGGAGTGATCCGTCCCATGAAGCCCACAAGCACCTTGCTTCCGGAAAGGATAACATAGACCATCTTACAGCAAAGATGAGAAACTATCTCAGTCGAAAGAAGGATCTCTACATTGCAAAGCACTTCCCAGGTGAAGCCAAAGTCCCGAACATGGACAGCTTGTTTCGAACTCTTGCGAAATGGAGACTTGAAGTCCCAGAAGGCTACACGGCAAGAAGCAACTATGCCACTGTGGATGAGTTAGTCCAAGCCTTAGGAGCCAAGGACATCGATGACATGCTAGTGTACGATCTTGGCAGTGGGCCTCTTTACAGTCGTTACATGAACAGCGTGGTAAAAGGAAACGAAGTCGCAGAATTCCAACAGAAGATGGAACACGCCTTTTTCTTTTACTCACCGACTGCTCTATTTCAGCTAATGCACTTGGCTAAGAGAAGGAAGGGAACGCGGCAGATCTGTTCGGATGGCACAGGAGGGATGCTGAAGGATGGGAGTGTCTTGATTGTCATGGGAGCGCTGTCGGTGAAGTATCGTGTTCTAGAACATGATGTTACCGCTTCCTTAAGAGCCATTGCCTACCTCAGAGCTGGTGGAGAAAGATACCACCCATATCTAATGGCATTGTACGCTCTCAGAGAGCTGGCATGGAAAGTATTTGGTATTTCTTTTGAGTTGGACTGGGGCACTTCGGACTCTGCCAATGCGTTTGTGTCTGCTCATGTATTCTTCAAAGCCAATCCTTGCATTTGCGACTCAGAAGATATGCAATGCACTGATGCTGAAGCCTCCGACAACGATTCGGTTGTATCCGATGGAACTGTGGACCCCTATGAATCGGTATTGAACTGTGCGTTTCATGCACTGCAACCATTTGCTAAGCGAGATGGCTATGTCGGTCGCTTCAAAGACAAGAGTTTCGCCTCTGCACAAGACAAAATCAGCGACATCCACAACTCAGCTTATGGCCATGTGAAGTATATTATGGATGCAAAGACCAAGGAACAACGAATCGCAATCAGGGATCTTGTCCTTGCTCACTTGTCTGAAGAACGACAAGAGAAGTCAGCAGCAGCCCTCTTCAACAAGTCTTACGGGGTATCACCCTACTGGAACATCAACTATAATTGCACCGGTGAAGCAGGAGTATACCCTACAAACTGTCCAAGTGAGACATTCAATCGGCATGCTGTGAAAAGAAGTGAAGCTGACAGGGCGAAGAATGTTTGCCTTTCCACATTTCTTGTCCATTCGGCACCTACTCTGCTCCATGATGATGCACTTCTCCGTGGCGACCCATGTACCATTCTCATACCCCGCGATTGTTCCTCTGTTACAGTTTCCGTCACTGCTTTTGTCCAGGAAGGTGTCGACATTGTGGAACGTGGCATGGACAGTTGGCTTTGCAATATCCGTCATAGGATTGGTGTACCAATCTCAGATGAGACCATCTTAAAGATGAACAAGGCTCTTGTGGGTGACTATTCAGCGTTTTCAGGCCCTCTTCATAATGGCAATCCTTGCAGCAAAGCAACTACAGCCATGAGGATGATTACAGCTACACGGTACATTTGTCATGTTACGAGACGTCCAAATGGGGACTTCATTGGTGACTGTGAGAATTGCATTAAGAAACTTGGGTATAGCTGTCCGGGTGTCTCTTTCCTTCGAAGCAAACACAATCGCTTTCATTCGCCCTTGGAGACGAAAAGGAAGACACCATGCAACAGGAATGGACGACTTTCGCTTGCACCAGACAGAGGCAACCGAAATGCCATGTACGAAGGAGGCCTACCTAAGAAAAAGAAGGCACGGTCACTCTCCAAAATGAGTATTTCCTTGCGGGATTACATCCTTTCCTTGACACACTCGCAACTTTCGAAGTCTGTTGACTATCTGGGTTTGCGCAAATTCGGTTCGGTTGTTCCCACCAAGCGCATGCTTGTTCCCCAGTTGCAGGAGCTTCTTTTGTCATTCGCTGATGACCCTGTATTGTACCGTCTGGAATGGCAGCGAGATTACAAATTGCGCAACGAGTATTTCCAAAATTGCAGCAATAAGCCCTAGTAGCAGACTACACTTATCTTTCATTGAAACTATAGTTCTTTTTCTTTAGCCCATACCATCTCACGCAATTGTATCAAAAGAAGTGAACAGTCGAAAGGTACGTGTGGCTTGCAAAGGTGCGGGGTATAGTCAAGGGCACTCCCGCCCTCTATCATTTTCTTATCAACATTCTGCCACCAGATGCGCATTGGACTTTCTGCATGTCCGGCGGTAGAAGGTTCCCATCTGCCGGTCTAAAATTTCTTGTGAGGCAGGAACTGTCTTGGGAGCGGGGTGTCTTGCCCAATATTTCTCTGCCAGCCGAAGAGCTCTCTTTCAGATGGTTGGGCGATAGAAGGAGTCGCGACCAGTCAAAGGAGTACCTTCCCACGGAAATCTTTTGGTTGATTGTTGCCTTTACGTTATTGTGCCACAATATTGCACTTGACTGTCAAAACCATGCCACCGTACTTCGTTGGTAACCTTGCTTTCCCTCGCCTCTTGGAAGATGGCACCGTAGAAACCCTCCGATATCCCATCAAATACACGTACCCATTCGGTATTCCAGAGGATTACACCACCACCGAGCTTGGCCAACAACTTGTTAACACCTTTCAGGAATACAATGTCCATTGTATCAAGGATCTGTTGGTTCGTGATGGTATTGACCTTGTCTCTGTGGCGTACAAACGTGAAGCCTTGGTGGAACATGCCCGGAAGCGTAATCACTTGAAGCCTTTGCGGGAGTATTTGTCTTCCTGGAATGTGCTCGCTCCCTGGCTCACCAAATATCCCGACAACTATCCTCTTCCCCCTGTAAATGGTCAATGGATGAAGGAGGATCTTGGGAAGCTTCTGCTCTTAAAGCTGTTGATTGTTAACCCCTTCGTCAATCGCCCCATGGCTGAGCGAATCTGCGAGCGAACCAATAGCCAGATTGATGAAATGTGTCTTCGATACAAGTACTGGATGAACTTCGATCTTGAGACTCTGCCTGATGAGACAGTTTACCTGGTGAAATTCGGCCATTTGGAAACTGAAATCGTAGCCAATATTCTTCGCCGCTACGAAATTGCCTCTTGCGAAGACTCCGACATCGCCAAACTGGCTGGACAAGCGCTGGCAGCAATCCAAGACCATTTCGAAGATACCGACTCAGTGGAGGAAGGGGAAGTGGAAACCAACAAACCCCCCATTGTTATCGAGTTGTACCCTACTGCTAGCGAGGATGATAGTGATTCCATTCCCGAGCTGGCACCATTTGGCGATGTCTCAACCGGTTACACGAACAACCAGAACTCGCTCAGCTTTCAGCATTGTTCGCAGCTTGCCCAGCCAAGTGTCCTTCCAACGGAGAAGAAGAAGTCACCCAACCCTTCACCCACCAAGCGATGTCGAGAAGAACATACTCCTGGCTCCCGGTCTTGCTTGAGCCAAGCGTTTCCTGAGAGTGATCGTGCCAGTGCGAATGGTGGTTTCGAGCGCTTCTTGGGCGATGCTGATGATGAGGACTCCGGCTCTGGCGAAGATTGCGAAGAGACCCCACGAAGCGACATCGCCAAGACCTTGGAAGAGTCCTTCGCTGAAATGCGGCGAAGAGAAGAAGAGGAGGAAAGTGCTGGCACTACTGGTACGCATCTCAATTCCTATCTTTACAGTTGAGGTGTGAGAGTTAACAGCTTGGAATGCGTGATCAGTATGGCTTTGCAGGGTTTCTAGGAAGGGTTTTTGCATCATATTGTTGGGATTGCAGAAATTCTCGACCATGGCGGATTTGAATATGAACTAGCCGTTGGTGTATGCGATACCACGGAAATCTGAAACACGGATTCGAGCCCAAAATAGTAACGACCGCTGGTCGCGCCAATATTAACCTTCATTACCGTATATAAAAAAATCGATAGCCAATCGTGTATGGCCAATATATCATGATTCCCTTGTCAGCGGAGTTCGGATTCTGCCTCAAGTAGAAACCTACACATCCTATTTACCAGGAAAGAAAATCTCCTTCAGGGGGTCGGAAATCTGCTTCAGCACTGGGGAAAGGACAGTTCTTCTCGAATCCGTAGTACTATCTCAGTAAGCTTCTGCTCTGTAGTACGGTACCGGTAGTGCCCTTTGCATGCTGGCGGTGGCATGGCGATTCATTCTGCTTCCAGTATTCTTACATTGAAGCAGCCGCCTGGCGCATTGGCAGCATCCATGCCAGCCACTCTTGGAGGCCACAATGTTACTTACTCTGTCGATGACAACAAGAAACACTCATTCGTCACCCACCTCGCAGAAGGATTCGAAGGAACATCCACATCCAAACATTCAAGGACTGGGTCAATGTCCAGCATCTAAGAAGCGCATTTTGGGCAAAGTGGATATTATGGGGAAGGTGCACAAAACGCTGGATCAAATTTTAGCGACTCATTTATGTGGGTCCCTTATCATGTCGAAGGGCATTATTTTAG